CCACCGCCATCTTTGTTATTGGGTTTATGGAAAAAGCTGGCCGTCTAGCTGGCAGGTGCTTTGGTCAATTCATTTTGTGGAAAAACTGGGTCAATGGCATTCTATATGTAGGTATACTGGATGGAAGGCAACACCTATTGTTGTAATCTGAACGAAAAAACTGTCGGATTGAAGTCGGAAATGAACAGAATGGGGGATGCTCTCTGTAGCCATGAGGAAAAAATCAAGAAACAAGAAGTCCAAATCAAAGACCTCCAGTGAAAAGTTAAATCACTAGAAGCCCGCCAGTTTCACAGTGAACAATATTCGAGAAAAAATTGTTTACATGTTTGGGGAATGCCAGACAATTACGAACAAAAGGATCTTCCCGCCAAATTTGTGGAATTCACCCGGGAATACTTACAGGTGACCATCTTACCGGGGGAACTGGATAACATACATTACCTGGGTGTAAAGGGATTAGGACGACATGTATTGTTAAGTTCTCTACTTTCCTGGCAAAGAGAAAGGTTTATGAGGCAAGGAAGGCCCTGAAAGGGAAGAAGAACGATGCTTGGTCGTCCAGATCTGTCCCCGGCTAGTAGGGCACTTTTCCACCAAGCCAAACAGTTGGTCTCCAATGGAACTGACAACAAACCGCTAACAGCTGTGTGGGTGACCATCGAGGGAAAGATCTGGGCTACGCGTGACGACTTCCGGGTTCTGCTGACAAGTCAACAGGACATAGCGAACGTCGTTCCAGAGGAGTCAGCCCAACACCGTCGAAAGTTCTTCGCCAAGCGGCAAGCTTCTCGTTCACCAGACCTTCAACCTGACAATAAGAAAACCAATGTCTTTGAAGCCTTGACACAAGTGGACTGCCCCTGAAGGGAGGGGCGGTAGAGACTGAACGTATGAGGTCTCAGAATTCTTGTTTGACATGTCGTCACTTTGAAGTAGTCACTCACTAATGGCTCCCTGTGCCATGTGTGTGTGTGTGTGTGTGTGTGTGTGTGTGTGTGTGTGTGTTGTGTGTGTGTTTGTGTGTGTTGTGTGTGGCTGTAGTGTGGTGTGTGTGTGACTGTGTGTGGTGTTGTGTGTGTGTGACTGTGTGTGTGGCTGTGTATGTCTGTGTGCGTGCGTGCGTGTCCACACACTACACACACACACACACACACACAGACACACACACACACACATACACACCACACACACAAACACACACACACAGACACACACACACACACATACACACCACACACACCAGCCGACTTTGCGCGACCTGCCCCCAATGTTCGGGAGGACAAAAACACCTAAAAAGGACTTCAATGGCTTTACAAAACAACCCGAAACACCACCCGTGGATAAACGTAAAGCATTATTAAAGCTGATCTTTAACACCTCAAACTGAGGGTGATGCAAATAGTTTTCCATATTGTTGTCACATGTAAGGTTTATATTATAAATATCAATACTTTTAAGGTGCGAAGTGTCAGAGGAAAGATAGTTCGCTCCATGTTGTCACATGGAGGCATGCAGATGTGGCGGGTGTAGAATTATAGAACAGAACTTGTTGATAAAAGACAGTGCCAGCTGATTGGGCCTATCCTTGAAAACTAGACATGTTGTGTTTGTAGAGAAAATACAGGTAGAACAACAAAGTGTAGACAAGAAAGGCGTCGATGTGTCACAGTTTTAACGCCGTAGGACACGTGGTGGTCTGAAGTGGAAATGTATAAATTTGAGCCAAACAAACGCAAAAGACGGCGGAAGGAAATGTGATATAACGTTAGGGGGCGACCAGTGTTTGGGAGTCCGGGGGGCATGCTCCCCCGGGAAAACTTTGAAATGTTGTGCTGCAATGCCATTTCCTGCATTTTTGAGGGGAAAATTTCTAGGGATTTAAGACGGGGTTGAAAGTATTTTTTTCCTAGCCCCCCTACCCTACCCCAGCTCAAGAACCTTTTCCTAGGCCATCCCCCCTGACGCCCGGCCATCCTCCCCGCTACCATTGTGCGTACACTCCCAGCACATACTTGATCGAGGTGACGAGACAAGGTGCAAGCACGATGCAAACTTTACTCTCCACCATTTTCGTGTATAATTTTAACTAATCATCACCAACTTTATCGCTTTGGAGCTTTCAACAACTTTGTGATCGCGAGGGAAAGGAGATAATAAGTCTTATCAAAGCTAGCATGTCGGATAAACAACCAATAATGGCGGGACCCTCAGAGGAAACCGACGTCCTACTTCAGCCGACATCGCCAACCCCGAGTGAAACGGCTACGCCCGCCGCAGGTCTCAAGTCCAGGTGAGTCGTTTACTCTTGTCCTTGTATACACTCCATGGCAAAAAGTCTGTCTCTAAACGGCCGAAGGCGCCGTTTGCCTCCCGGCCATGATGAACGGCGCATCCGGATCGCATGTGATTTCTCCAACTTAGTCCGGATCCAAGCAGATGTTGGGGGGGAATAGTGACACCAGTATCCACTGGGCAGGAACATTCAAGCCGTGGCTCGAAACATCTGGGAGACTTACGCTTTACATGCTATTATTGCATGTAGTACTTCACAGATCAGCACAAAATAAACCCGCCTCAGTGTCCACTGTTTAGTCTGAGCATTAATCCACATGTACATGTGTTCACATGCAGGAAGACGAACCTGGCACCACAATACCCAACTCTTCTAAAATTCCATGAGAAAGGAATGACCAATAACAAAGACCCAGAGGCCAAGGAGATGATCGAGGAAGTATTGAAACAGACAAAGCTTGATAAGGACATAGTCCTAGTAAGAAACAGCAGCGCCATTTTTTAAAATCATTACTCACTGACAGATAAATTAAGTAGCACTTAAAGTTGAAAATAGCTAGCAGGATTGCTAACATTTTGCTGTGTATTGACTATCTTTGTGAATATGTAAGTTCTAACATAAAAAAATTGCATGTGTATTGTATAGATGAAAAACAATCTTTTTCTTTGTGTTTCTCACTCTACGCCTGCCAATTCATTGAACGTATTCAACTTTGGGAACCAAACGACCTGATGACCTCTGTAATCTCCAAGCAGATACAAAGTGGCTTGGCCTCGAAGCAGATATAGGGTGGCATGGATCCTGTCAATCTACATGTTCCAACAGCAAGCCATTGGAATATTCCAATGCTGCATGGGGGTATAGACTGTTGGAACATTTCACATTTTGAACAGGGGTGACTTAAGAACAATCCATTTGTGTGGGAGGGGGAATTTTGGTATGGGGAATGTGGTGAAGCCATGCTACGTTTGCTCCTGAGCAAATATCGGCCTTTCTAGTTTTACATTTTTATCTGAATTTATCTCTAGAAGCCTACGGTCCGTTTTATTCTGTTCAGGACGAAAATTAAAACACAGTATATATTTTCCAAGGCTTAACAAAACAGTTACCACTGGATCCTCATGCACTGCGCATCACGCCCGGATGCTGATTTGTTGTAAACACGGAACTGCACACAGGGTGTGAACAACGTAGCAGAGCTTTACACCGAGTTCCACGTCAACATATATTGAGTGACTTCTCTTAAGGGTCCTCTTTGTGTCTTGCCTAATAGAAAAACAAGAAAAAATTGTTGACGGAGGGGAACCAGACTCAGTTTTGGTAAGCTGCAATTTTGTTTCTTTTCTGACGGAATTATAAAAGACTGACAATATAAATGCCGCGAGAGGGTACCTTATGCATGAGTGCACACAATTGACGAGAAGCAGATATTATTAGAATTTCCATATTCAAACTATTTACAGTTTTGCCGCCTTGGTCTTACATCGAAGTCATCTATGGGTTATAATTGCAATTTGTGTGTGGGTGCGTCCTGGAAGGGACATTTTGGTGACTTGTATAACCCAGTGTGGAGTGTGTGACGTGGATATTTTGTGTCTTGTATAACCCAGTGTGAAGCGTGTGACGTGGGTATTGTGGTGACTTGTATAACCCAGTGTGGGGCGTGTGACGTGGGTATTTTGTGTCTTGTATAACCCAGTGTCGAGTGTGTGGCGTGGATATTTTGTGTCTTGTATAACCCAGTGTGGGGCGTGTGGCGTGGATATTTTGTGTCTTGTATAAACCAGTGCCGAGTGTGTGGCGTGGATATTTTGTGTCTTGTATAACCCAGTGTGGAGCGTGTGACGTGGATATTTTGTGTCTTGTTTAACCCAGTGTGGGTTGTGTGGCGTGGGTATTTTGTGTCTTGTATAACCCAGTGTGGAGCGTGTAACGTGGATGTTTTGTGTCTTGTATAACCTAGTGTGGGGTCGTGTGACGTGGGTATTGTGGTGACTTGTATAACCCAGTGTGGAGCGTGTGACGTGGATATTTTGTTTCTTGTTTAACCCCGTGTGGAGTGTGTGATGTGGGTATTTTCTGTCTTGTATAACCCAGTGTGGGTTGTGTGGCGTGGATATTTTGTGTCTTGTATAACCCAGTGTGGAGCGTGTGACGTGGATATTTTGTGTCTTGTATAACCTAGTGTGGAGCGTGTGACGTGGGTATTGTGGTGACTTGTATAACCCATTGTGGGTTGTGTGGCGTGGATATTTTGTGTCTTGTATAACCCAGTGTGGAGCGTGTGATGTGGGTATCTTGGTGACTTGTATAACCCGGCGTGGAGCGTGGGTATTGTAATGACTTGTATAACCCAGTGTGGAGTGGATATATTGGTGACTTGTATAACCCCGTGTTGGTGCCATAGGCATTTTTAAGAATTGTAAAACATATATATCAATAACCATTATATATCGTGTTTTAAAGCTTAAAAAGTCCGTTTTTTATTACGGCACAGTATCATGATGATGCATGAAGGAATCCGTCGTCTCTGTAAAAGCCGATTGGCTGTCCTTATTTTCGGGATTGTCATTGGAAGATGGGGGACAAACATCTTTGGAGTTCCAGACGTTTCTTACGCCAAAGGACCTCATCAGAAAGACGCCGATGGTTTGAAGGAAAGTGTCAACAGGCTTTTGCAGGCCCATGAAGCTCCCGGGAAGTCTATACAGGACTTCTATTCCAAAGACGCCCAATGGTTAAAAGGAAGGTAGGTTTCAAAAATGCAATGTTACACGTATTTACAACTAAGCAACAATGTGGTTAAATATGGCCCTCCAGGTGGCTGACCTGGGTACTGCAGCAAAACTTTCGATTTTCGCATATTTTGTCCTGAATGTTAGCTATGGTCTTCCATTTTTGGTAACAGATAGCTTTTCCTGTCAGTGTACCCCCCGCCGTGCGTGCTTTTTGTCCGTACGTTTTTTGGGAGGCTACGTCTGCTACGTTTTTTCTGCAAACGTAGGGTGACCGGCCGAGGGAGTACGTCACTCGCACGGTTGCGCAAGGTGTACGTACGTGGTCTGCACGACACGTCTGGCCGTCAGCGGTTGCGTGCATCGTACGTTGCGCAAGTGGTAAGTGAGTTGTACGTGCTTACAACGTACGATCTCTGTGCGATTGCCACGTTGCCGCGTACAGGCCGTACCTACACGTGCGGCGTACGCACGGTTTCCTTACTCACTCGCACGTTGTAAGTGCGTGTACCTCCTGTTAACTTCATCATCACTAGCCGTCCTGGTGTCTTCCGCGGCCCGTTTCTTTTTTTTTTTTTTATTCAACAAAATAACTGTAAATAATACAAAAGTAAACTGAAAAAGCCAAGACGGCTTGTACAAATAGAAAATAACTTAAATAACGGAAAAGCCTCCCATAAAGCCATTACTTTAGAGCTTGACGAAATGAAAATAATCTTAACAATGACATAATAACAATAACAGAAATTATAATGAACACAAAGTTCCCCACTTACCCCGATGCTTCTCTAGCTTTCCCCTCCGAGATGCAATAAGACCTTCTGTCTTTTGAAAGACAGATGTTAATATTTTAAAAGACTGGAAGTTTAAAGTCTTAAAACGTCGGGATCGGAAAATGAAAATCTTACCTAATAATATAATGATATTATTTAAAGGGGATGCATTTGTAGAAATATCCCCAAACATAACTACAAAAGAATTTAATTCTAAATTTGCACGAATTTCTTGTTTTAACCAATTTTGTACGTTATTCCAAAAAGCTATCACATGAGGACATTCCCAGAAGATATGTATGTAAGATTCTTCATCACTATGGCAGAAGGAACAGGTACTGGATTCGATTAGATTCCAAGTTTGTAATACTTTGTTACATGGTAAAAATTCATAAAGTAAACGGTACTGAAAATATCGGGCGTTAGGGTCTATAGTACATTTAGTTTATGTTATAAATACTGCTCGCCATGGTATGGGCCTATCAAAATAATAAAACCATGATAACCTTACTTTATGGGCAATTATAACATCATTTGTATAAGCCAGAAAGAAATTATACAAAAACTTATTAATTTTAGTATTTTTAACCACATATAATTTTTTGTAATGGTAAACATACAAGCTCTTTTAACTGATTACTAGTAAGTAAAGTTTTCCATCTTTTAGGTATTGCAGATATAAGTTGTTGATATCGAAATTGGATACAGTTCACAAAATTCAGCATACGACATAAAGTTTCCATCTGTACCTAACAAGTCATTTACAAAAATTATATTTCTATTAAACAAAGCAGTTATAAAAATAGGCTTACTATCAACAGTAATACAGGAGTTATCCCAAACTATTTGTTGTCGTACGTTTGTTGGTGTCGCGGACTCCACGTACTGAAATTTGTACCATGCATCAAGTGCTTCAAAGAGAAAACTCTTAAGATTCAGGGCATGCGCAGAAGGTAGCTGCATGAAGGGAAATAGACTCAGACTGAGACGAGGATGAGAAGCGATGGCCATTGAAGTAAACCACTCAGGGTGAAAGAATATCTTGGGTATCCACGAAGCTTTAATAGTTAAATTAAAGGCACGTAAATTAATTAACTTTAAACCACCATTTTCCACCGAATTGTACAATACTTTTCTAGCTACTCTTTCCGGCCCGTCATCCCAAATGAATGAGAAGATCTTCTCGTATATTTTGAAAAATAATTCATTTGGCGAAGGTAAAACTTGAAATAAATTTGTGAACTGGGGAACCACCAGGGAATTAACAACAGTAATTTTTCCGTACAGGGATAATGATTTGCCTTTCCAAGGGCTCAATAACCTATCTAAACGTTCTAAACGGGGTTCAATATTTACATCAACAAGTGTATCCATGTCAGTAGGAATATGAATTCCTAATACGTCTACACCACCATCCACCCAATGAAATGGTAGGTGGGTGGGCAAACAAAAATTGGAAAACTTTAAAGGTCCTAAGCGTAAAATTTTACATTTTTCAGGATTTAAATCTAATCCCGATATCTTGGAAAAGCGTTCTAGATCAGATAAAAGTGCCTAAAATGAAGCCAAATTTGGCTCGAAGGGGAAATTCGAATCGTCAGCATATTGGGAGACTTAAGTAATTTTTTCATGAACTTTTAAACCACTAATGGAATGATTGGATCTAATTTTGATGGCAAGGACTTCAACTGCTATTATAAAAAGGTATGGGGAAAGAGGACAACCTTGGCGTACACCGCGATTTAACGTGAATGGATTTGAAATGTATCCATTATTAATAATTGAACTTGTTGATTTCTCATATAGCACTTTTATCCACGTTTTAAGTTGTGGACCAAAGTTGAAAAAATCCAAACACTTAAACATAAAATCCCATCTTAAAGTGTCAAATGCTTTTTTAAAATCTGCAAAAAATATTAATCCAGGTTTTCCTTCATTGTCATAATGTTCAATTGTATCTAAAAGTCTTCTAATATTATCACCAATGTATCTACCCTTAATAAATCCAGTTTGATCTTGTTCAATTATACATGAAATAACCTGTTTAATTCTAAGCGCAATACATTTTGACAAAATTCTGGAATCACAACAGAGGAGAGTAAGAGGGCGCCAATTTGTAATATCAGTTGGGTCCTTGTCAACACCTTTACTATCTTTTTTAAAAGCAATGAAATGAGACCTTGTCTCTGTGTGTCTGATAGACACCCATAGACAAAGGAATGATTAAAACACTGTAACATAGGACCTTTAAAAACATAAAAAAACTCCTTATATATTTCAATAGGAATACCATCTAACCCTGGTCATTTTCCAGATTGAAATGAAAAAATTGCGTTTTTTAACTCGTCTTCATTTATTAACCCTTCACAAGCCTGTTGTTGCTCATTTGGTAAGCGTTTGCCATAGTTCAAAGGAAAAAAGCCGTCACAATTTGTTTCAGTAAGGGACACTGGTATATCTTCAAAGGAGTATAATGCAGAATAAAAACTGACCTGATCAGAAAGAATATCTTTTGGATTAGAAACAACCTCACCAGAGGGCCTCTTGAGTCTTTGGATATTTTTTCTAGTATAATTACGACGGACCAAATTCATAAAATATTTCGTACACCTCTCCCCCAACTCCATCCAGCGCGATTTAGATCTTAACAAGATACCATTTAAACGTTCATTGTATAAAGATTCCAGAAGCTTTTGTTTACATGTTAATTCATCCAGCTGGTCAGGTGAGGGAGAGGTGGTGTTGTCGATCTGAGCTTGCAAATTATTGATTTCATTAATGAGTTCTTTTTCCTTAATCAGGTATTGCTTCTTTTTCCAACTAGAGAACTTAATACAGTGTCCCCGCAAGAAACACTTTGCTGCATCCCATACAACTTGTGGGTTTGCAGTATTAACGTTATTTTCAAAAAATTCAGTCATAACTTGCTTTGTATGTACAATAAAAGTTCTGTCCTGAAGAAGAGACTGATTAAACTGCCAGTAACCAGGTCCTCGTGGGAAGTCCATGGTTACAAAGGATAATGTAATTAGATTATGGTCAGATTTAAATTTGTCCGCAATACAACATTTTGTTACTCTATTTAACAACGAAAAAGAAATCAGAAAATAGTCTAATCTACTAGCGTGGAGGCCGCGACGCCAGGTGTAACGAACAACATTTGGATTTCTGAACCGTCATATATCATGCAAATCAAACTTTCCTTTTAACTCAGAGATCGCTTCCAGTGCAGTAGGATGGTAATTACGATGTCGAACACCCGATCTGTCCATTGATGCATTTTGCACAGTGTTGAAATCCCCAACAACAATCAAACGTTCATCACTTATGTCAAAAGTATCTATGACTTGCTCAAGTTCCTTAAAAAAGGCAGGTGAATCGTCATTTGGTGCATATAAATTAACAAGACAAAATTGTAGTCCATCTATCTCAATATCTAAAATGATCCAGCGCCCACTTTCATCAGTCTTGACCTGATGAACCTTAGCGCTGGTGTTATTCTTAACTAAAATAGCCACACCTCTTTGATTAGAGGTACCATGCGAGAAGTATATTTTACCACCCCATTCGTTCTGCCATATTTGTTCATCTCTTAAGGTTGTATGTGTCACTTGTAAACAATAAATGTTGTGAGGTTTGTCCCTTAACCAAGTAAAAAGTCTCCTCCGTTTATAAGCATCTCCCAGTCCATTACAATTCTATCTATGGCAATCACTCGTGATCTTTATTTGCAATCAGATACAGATTCATGTACAGATACATAGTCATGCACAGATACAGATTCATGTACAGATATACAGATTTTTCGAGTATGATGACCGTGTCAGTCCCTACACCTGAGTGAGGGTTACATTTGACACGGTAGCCTTCGCGTGGATTTGTTTAAGGTGGATAACAGGTTGCGAATCTGAGACCCACACACTTGGGCATCCGTCTTCCCCAGCGGATCCATCGAGGGAGACGTGCTGGTTCCGGTTCGGGTGCTTGCAGCGAGCTGCCGGTGACTTGGTTACGCTCAAGTTCCGCCATTACAATTAAAACTAGATATATGGCACTCTACCTTTGACATAACTTCTGGGAAAAAACGTCTCGGGGAGGGAAGCCAGGAGAGGTCATCGGGGCTCCGGATTGAGTATGGTGTGGGAAGATCCGATCTACAAAGAAAATAAACTTGGGGAAGACTAAGCGAACATCAAAATTATCCAAACAATCAAAATAACTGTCACTGCAAATCATAAGTGGTATCAGCAAAAGAAAACTTGAGTAAAATGTTCTGAAACAAATATTACGTACAACGTACGTGTAGGTTGAACAAAGTATCTGAAGTCCTGAACTTATAGCTATAAATTTGAATGCTGACAAAACAGAAATCAGATACCAAATCATATAAACCAAATTGAACAAAACAAAAACTATGAGTGCATCAATGCAACATGGGATATTCTTAATCATCAAAATACAATAATAAATCATGTACGTATTGATTAAACAAGATATCTGAACTCTCGAACTTTTGACTAAAGATATGAATACTAATATAACAGAAATCAGATACCAAATCATATCAACCAAATTATAAAAAAAATCCAAAAAATATGAGTGCAGCAATACAACAAAGGATAATAATAGTCACCAAAATACAATAGTTGAAATTAGCATAATCCCAAATCAAAATTTCATTCCATAAACAGCTACGAAATTGGCCAAACTCAAAATTTAAACCACGGCTGGTAGTTGTGTAATGGCCACATTCCAATGTGGCTGTACTTACAATTATAATAGGGAGGGCTTTATAACGAAAAGAATAAGACAACAAAAACAATATCCAAGTCTTCACAGCACATAAAAGTAGAAAAATGGACACAGAAGCATTGCTAGTTTGGCCCATTTCAATACCGAGCTGCGCAACCCTAAGCTAGTCTTACTGAATATATACATCAAGAACAATAATCTGATCCGTGTATTTAGAACGGTTTCTTTATTTCTCAGAAGTCAATAAAGCGTTGTTATCCTCACGATAACAGCAGGAAATTATCATGGGTACTTGGCCCCTGTCTGTATCACTGATCAGATGCAAAATTAGCATAACAGCAGTTGGAATTTTGGACAGATGAAACAAGAACAACAACAGCAGATGTCATCACAGCTGGAGCTGGAAGCCGCCGAAAAAAAAACAACAACAAGGGAAACGGAATCGAAAATAGTTAAATACATATTCGTTTTACATCAGAGTCATTTGTCTAGTTGTCCTCTGAACCCGATGGTAAATCGTCAATACACTCAATGTTCTTTGTAGACTTGTCCAACGCAGTGATCATAATTCTGCAATTGGCATCGATCCAGACATCCTTAATCAAATTCCTCTTCTTAGCTGAAAGTGCCGCTGAAAATGTCCTCATGTTCTCTCGTGTCAGATCCGCCGTAACCAGCAACGGTTTACCCTCGTCGTCCCGCTTCCCCTTCAACTTCGTCCTGGCTCGGAATACTTTGTTGCGATCTTGCCAAGAGATAAACTTGACGAGCATGGTACGTGAAGTATTCCCGCTTCTTACGCCAACACGATGTGCGCGATCAATGCTATGTTGAGGAATGTCGATTCCCAGCTTAATGCGACAGAAGTTGACGACCTTCTGGATGCAAAACTCACTTCTTTCCCCTTCCACCTCAGGAATCCCGCGGATTCGCAAGCTGTTTCTCCGTGTGTACTGTTCCAAAGAGTTAATTGCATTACTCACGGCCGGTGTTGGTGGGAGGGGGGTCTTCTCTATGTCGTCAAGTTTCCCTTCCACGCGACGAATCCGGCCCTCTAGTTCGTCTTGGCGGTTCAGGATTCTGTCGATGTCCTCTCGTAAGTCCTTCAATTCACTCGACTTTGCCACCTGTTGAAGCTCAGCCTTGATAGGTAGCAGCGCACTATCAATAGTCGACTTTATAACCGTAATCAGTGAAGAGTCCGCCATATCTGCCTCCGTCATGTCTTGCGTTGACTCGTTCGGGTTCTTAACTGTATTCTGGTGATTCTCCCCGCTGTCGGTCTTTCTTCTTCTCTTCCCGGATCTCGTCATCACCATACAACTTACAGTGTCAGTGGGGTTACGGATCGTCCAAGCTTAGGGAATGCGCTGAACACAGTCGGTTAGTGGGAGCCTTCCGCGAGGATGACCACCCCTGACGGCATCTTGGAAATACCCACAAAAACAGACATCTTTGCCCATTTTAGGCATGGTGACCACTGTCAGAAGGCAACAAAATATCTTGTTTTTCCCTAAAATCAGGCGAAAATTAATGCGCGCGCTGAAGTCATCCACAAAAATTACTTGCTGTGGCCTAAGCTAACTAACCAGGATGGTACCCAGGCTACCCAGTTCGTTGGTTTTGCCCGCCTCCCGCCAAAACAGAAGAATCCTGCGGTGGTTAGATGGACAGCGACATTTTTGTAGCATCGACGCAATCAGATTTCTGCAGCTGCAGTTTTTGGAACAGTCGGTAGGTGCATCAGCTGATACGAAATAAGAAACGATGAAGTGAGCGTCTATCTGTACTAACTATATTGTATATTGATAATTATTATACATATGGGAAAGGGTCGTAATTTAGTAATTAGCATGATGAGAAACGTTCACAGATTAAGTATATATTTTCTTTTCCTTGTTGTCGATACATATATTACTCTTACTTTTTATCTGAGTTTATTAGGTCATGTGGATCATTCTCCATAACTTGGTGATTGTCCTTCAAATCTCCGAAATTAAAAATCTGTTAAATATCGCAGTCAGGAGTCCATCGTGGGAACAGACCAGCCTTCGGAAATTGCCCCAGTTTCAAATACCGGTAACTCAAGTCTCCACAAACGCTTCAGACTGTTCATTATTCAATGATTATATAAGGTCTGACATTTGCCGTCTCTGAGTTTAGGATATAAACCCGCGCCGCTGTTCTCTCGGCACAAGTGGGGCCGGAAAGTTTTCGCTCCCACTGGGAGAATATCTTGGCTTGCTGCAGATGAGAATCTTGTTCTGTTGAGAATCCGGCCCAGTTGAGAATGTTGTTGCTGCTGATTGCCGTGCGTGCGGCCCTGCCGATGGTGTCCGGCTAGACAACACCCTTTGATCGTACAACAACAGCACCAGGTGAGAAAACCGATTGTTTGGATTGGTTGTTCCTTGTAACACGGAAGGAAGCTACGCATGAGATAGACTCAATGTACTATTACATTTCTATACTCTATATTTCTATACTCTATATTTCTATACTTGTAGTGCGTATATGTATATGTGAAGTCTTGGTCTCTGGTTGAGCGGCACAACATCAGAAGTCCGTTTTATCTGACTTCAACATCTTTACTACCTGTACCTAGCTATAGACTGGCTACCCTGTGGCGACTTCCCGTGGGACACTGATGGCGTCACCGTGAGCTGTGACTCCACCTACAGCTCTCACTACGAACATCGACAGGGCCGGTGTACCATGACGTGCCCCGCGGATGCCGACATGTTGGTGGGACCTCAAATCTGGTACGACGGATTTTACTACTGCAACGTGCGCAACAGCACATGGATGGGATCAGAACCCGTGTGTCTGGGTAAGGCTAGGAAACTGCACAACTTTCTTTCATATTTATCTAACATAGCAAGCTTTCTATCTACTATATCCAAGCCATGCAGATTGGGGTCCATCATGACTTCAGCAGGGTCCACTTCTTCATCCGGAAGTATGTGCATTGCGAGGTGAGAAGCCAGTATAAGATCTATATCCTGAAGGTCTGCCTCCAACATCTTGAAGAACTTGTGAAACAGTCCTAAACTGATGTGAAGGCCAGGAACACATACCTGCAGGAAACACACACATATTAATGACAACCCCCCCTCTTCTTGGCTTCATGTTAAAGTAACATGCCATTGAGTTTGTACATCTAACTTTGAAATTAATGTTTTATTCCAAATGAAAGCAACACTTATATAGTAGAATGTTTTACTGATCATACCTGATTCAGAGGAATCTCAAACATTGGGGGAGCAATGACATTCTTGAAATTCTTGGCCTTCTTGATGTTTCCTTGCCCCTCTTCCAGGAAACGATTGTAATCAGAGGACAAACTCTCTAATGTCCGTTTAGGACATGTTTGCCTTTCTGACTTTGGCAGTTGGATTCTGCTTTTTGTCTCTTCACACCAGAGACAGGGATGGACACCTGAAGCACAGGATGATAACATTGTAGAGTCAGAAGAATACTTTTAATACTAATAGCATTGTAAACAAGAAGAAAAGGGACAATGAGAATTATTAATTATAATTTCTCACCACAGGCTCCAGAGATGCCATACCACAAGGACAACAAGGCATAGTCTGATGCTGCAAACACCCTGATGGAGTATGATGTATCGTCCGGTGATCTAAAAGCCAGGAAGATGAGACACATTTGTAAGTACTTGATATATATATATATATTGCGCATAAAATTTATTTCAAATCATCATCTTAGTTCTTACATGGTCTCTATCTATTCAGTAGCAAGCTGGCAACTTACTTCCACTTCGTCACTTGAAGCTCCTTGATCTCAGGTGCAAAGCGCTTCGTCCCTGTAATGACGTTTTCCCTGTTGTCCTTGGCCTCGAACACACAGCAAACAACAGTGTTTGACTTTGGGTTCGGGTGAAGCTTGTTACGCGGCTGAAACGCCATTTGAAGGATCCACGACCATGGTCCCCCAAAATCTTGATCCAGACCTCCTCCTCACTAATCTTGTCCTCATGCCAAGTCAGTTTTCTAATAAAGAGAAATGAATGGCGATAAAGTTGCTAGTTTAAAGTCAAGCACACAAATTGAAATATATCAGCAAAGAAAAGGCAAATTTCAGGTAGTTAGGTAGTATTCTTACCCTGAGCTTGAGGCCCGGGACAAGTTGTCCAAGATGGCGCTGTTAAGACTCTCCAAATAGGCACATGGCAGCAAATCTACCTTTGTGCCATTGGGGGTCTTAACAGTGAAGGGTAGGAACTCGGCATGGATTGGAGAGTAGGCTCTTTGCCACCTGCCTTGATACTCTCCGACTCTACTGTCACTCCGTACTTCTTTAGCCATCTGTGAGAAATAACCATCAGGCATCCTTAGCAAGTTTAAACATTATGTTTTATGTGTGAGTTACACAAGCACATTGGAATGGAACAATAACTTGTAAACAAGGCAATGATATGAAAAATACAAACCTGCGCAGCTTTCTAATCTGGTTATAGTTGAAACCACAGTCTACTTTTGCCGCCAACAGGTGACCATATGGTATCCTGACTTGATCCAGGCCCAAGTCGTGAAACATCTCTAGGAGCTGTGCCTTTGGCATGGCCTTCATCGCATCCTGGAACTGTTCGGCCGAGGCACCACCACTGACAACTGTCCGCACCTCATCCATGGCCCGAACCCGTTTTCGTTTGGTTGTGGTGCTTGCCTCACCTAGTTTTTTTTCTGGGTTGCACAACCTTCATCATGTTCACATCAATAGTTACCATACCAGCAGTTTGCTGTGGAGGACCTGGCGCTGCAATGGTTTGTTCAGGAGGGGGTGGTACTTTAACTGTGTTTGTCTGGATGGTGGGAACCTTGTTTGATACTGGGGTTTGCAAGACTGGAAGGGTGAGAACTACTACTGGCATTGTGACAGGAGTGCTAGGGTTGCGTAAGGTATTTGTTTTCCGTGGAGACTGTGTACAAACATGTTTTAATTGATCGAGTCTTAGATGAAGTGGTTTTAATGTGTCATCTGTGCAAGTTTTGCATTGAAAGGTGATCTGTAAGAACGCGCCATAGTGTGTTAACGGGTGTGACATGATCTTGATGTACTACCAGTTTGCACACTGGACAGGAGATTGTGTTATGATTAGCATGGATGAATGCCTGTTGGATGCAATTAAAACAATAAGCATGATTGCATGGAGTCTGCACCGGAAGGTATAGGAGAGATTTGCAAATTGTACATGTGTATCCTTCTACACTCCCTACCTCCACAAATCTATCTAAATCAATGGGGAAATCTTCCAGTTTGTCCAATAATCTCAGAAAAGAATTGTTGTCAAAGTGAGTGGATGAAGTGGTCTGTGTAGGCTCCTTTGCAGTCGTGGAGTCATAAGGCATTGATGTTTTAGCACAAGCAGCTCCTGAGTCATCCTGCTTACCCCTCTTTCCTCCCAGACTCCTCTGCATCACTTGATTTTCATGTGCATGGAGCAGGAGGTTCTTTACTACAAGAGGCCGAGCAGGATGATTTGGGCTTGAA